TAAGCACTTATACATAATTTGGTGAGAGTTTATCATCTATATACAACTTTTTAGATTTCAGTTTCAATTTTAAAGAAACTGTGCAAGATATTCTCATCAAATTTCATACACTTATACAAATTTTCATGTTGCATTTCTAATAAACCCTCGGCGGGGCATTCATGTCCTATGGACATATTTCTAGTTGTATAAAAAACATCACTTTTGACCTCCATTTGACCCCCAGGGTGAAAATGAAAATTCTGAAACCTTACTGCACATCTACAGGACACCACCAATCACCTTCCAAATGATGATTAGGCTACTGTGTAAAATGTAAGAGGAGTTCAGGGAACCAGGGGCTTTTTGAATAAAAAACGTCATTTTTCGACCCCCATTTGACCCCCAGGGTGAAAATGAAAATTCCGAAACCTTACTGCAAATCTACATGACACCACTAACCATCTCCCAAAAGATGATTAGGCTACTGTGTAAAATGTAAGAGGAGTTCAGGGAACCAGGGGCTTTTTGCATTAAAAAACGTCATTTTTCGACCCCCATTTGACCCCTAGGGTGAAAATGAAAATTCCGAAAACTTACTACACATCTACATGACACCACCAAACATCTCCCAAAAGATGATTAAGCTACTGTGTAAAATGTAAGAGGAGTTCAGGGAACCAGGGCTTTTTGCATTAAAAAACGTCATTTTTCGACCCCATTTGACCCCCAGGGTGAAAATGAAAATTCCGAAACCTTACTGCACATCTATAGGACACTACTATTCATCACCCAAAAGATGATTAGGCTACTGAGTAAAATGTAAGAGGAGTTCAGGGAACCAGGGGCTTTTTGCATTAAAAATGTCGTTTTTCGACCCCCATTTGACCCCCAGGGTGAAAATGAAAATTTTGAAACCTTACTGCACATCTACATGACACCACTAACCATCTCCCAAAAGATGATTAGGCTTCTGTGTTAAATGTAAGAGGAGTTCAGGAAACCAGGGGCTTTTTGCATAAAAAATGTCGTTTTTCGACCCCCATTTGACCCCCAGGGTGAAAATGAAAATTTTGAAACCTTACTGCACATCTACATGACACCACTAACCATCTCCCAAAAGATGATTAGGCTGCTGTGTTAAATGTAAGAGGAGTTCAGGAAACCAGGGGCTTTTTGCATAAAAAACGTCATTTTTTTACCCCCATTTGACCCCCAGGGTGAAAATGAAAATTCCGAAACCTTATTGCACATCTACAGGGCACCACTAGCCATCTCCCAAAAGATGATTAGGCTACTGTGTAAAATGTAAGAGGAGTTTGAGAAAGAAGAGTGTGACAGACGGACGGACGGATGGACAGACATGAGTAACAACAATATACCCGAACTTTCTTTAGAAAGTGCTGGTATAATAGAAACTATATTTTAAGTTTAAGTCAACGCGGCGGCGATTTTTGAGCAACATTTAAGAAAATGTATAAGTGTCCGTCACGTGATCAACACAGTCATGTGACATCACAAAAATCATTTTTATAATACCTTATTCAACTCTCGTTACAACTTAACTGTGTATGTATACATAGATTACAAATTGAAATCAAAACATAGCTCAAAATAAAATAGTATATATCTAATGCATATTAAGCCTTCGGACAGCCTTAACATAGCTGCGAACATTTTTTATGAGAAGAACAGATAGGTATAAGGTGAATTTTTTTTTTTAAATATTTGGATTACGGATCTGCTGATCTAATTTTTTTTTTTTGACTTTCAGAAAAAAAAAAATACTTTTCAATTTTTTAACTGATCGACATAAATTAAAAGAAAAAAATCAAACAACTGGTAACTGTGAAAAAAGTCGATAAAACCCCCATAATTTCGGTTTCATTCATGAAAAGATACCTTAACTTTTGTACTTATGGTTTTAAAATTGATCGGGTTTGGGATTCACACTTCACTCACTGTCACATGCGCCATGATGACTGAAGAGGAAAGTTTGTCAAACAGCGGTTTGTGAATCTATTTAAATAATTTGACATACTTTCACGTACATGGAATGCTAAATAAAAAAACTAACAAATCATTAGACTTATTTTATTTTTGATTTTTAAGTATGTCAAAAGGGTTTTTTTTTCGACCTACTTACCCATTTTTTTTTGGATAAAAAATGTGAAATCCAGTAAAATAAAATTCTCCTAACTGCATATATCCGTACTTGTTGCTGAATTTGTCTTTTAGAAATGCATGTCATGAAAAACAGAAGAGGAAAATAAAATTTGATTGTCATTATCAAGTAATAAGCTGTTGTAAATTGTTTTGACCATGTACCTTTTTGTGTATATACATACATCTTTGTTGTAGATTTAGATCAAAAATGAGATTTTTTCAGTGTTAACTAACGTAACCCCTCTTGGCATCAAGCATGACAAAATTGGAATCAATTCTTCATATTTTTAAGTGGTCATTTAAGCTTTACTGGTCAGAGAACAGAAGTAAGTCGGTCGTGAACTCTTGAACATTATCAGTTTCTTCTCATTAACAGCTGAGCCAAATTCAACAAATTTTGATATAGAGCATTTACGAGCAAGGGAGGAAAAGCATTGAGAATATCATGCTCTCTGTCTCTCTGGGGCCTGAGGGGTAAGGGCAAAAACATCAAAAATATTGCAGTTTTCAAACATCTACTCCAGGACAGCAAGCTGTCAACCTGTAGGCATGATTACATGTATAAAAATACAATGATTCCTTTATTAAAATTGTGAAATTCGTGGTTTAAGGGTCAGGGGTCTGTTGTTAGGATGGGGCTCTATTGATTATACATATAGTGAAAGTGTAAAAATTCTTTGAAAATCTTTCTTTCTGCTCCTAAGTATTTAGCAATCAAATTTAGTGCATGACTATGATAAGCAAAGATGCCTTCTCCAAAATGTAAAATTCATGGCGAAAGGTCATTGGTTCTAGTGTTAGGACAGGGCTGTATTGGTTATATAGTGAATGCATAAATGCATTTATAGAACTTCTCTGCCCCTGGATGTTAAACATACAAAGTAAGAGTATGCTTATGTTAAACTGAGATGCTTCTTCCAAAATTGTAAAATTTATGGCCCTGAGTGTTAGGGGCTTAGTTTTGGAGGGAGGCATATTGATTATATAATGAAAATGCATTATTTCAATGAAGATCTTCTCTGTTTCTAGGAATTCAGCAATCAAAGTAAGTGCATGACTATAATTAGGACGGATGCCTCTTTCAAAATTAGGAAACTCATGGCTCCTTTGTCAGAGGTTCCTTCGTTAGGTCAGGGCTCTGTTGATCCCTTAATGAAAGTGCATAAATTCAAATCTTCGTCTAGCAAACAAAGAAGGTATATCACGGGTTAAACTGAGCATGGATGCTTCTCCCAAAATTGTGAAAATCATGGTCCCAGGGTCAGGGGTACTGGTGTTAGGGCGAGCTTGATTAATTATACTGTGAAAATTCACAATTTCTTTGAAAATATTGGTTTTATTGAGCAAGGGTTTTTTCTCCAGATTTCGAAAATTTTCACCAGTGGATTAATTTGTTCTGGTGCTGGTAAGGATTCTATAATGTAGGGACATTTGTACTTTACGAAAAGAAGTAATTCTTCTTTGCTTTTTACTTAAAATAGTTCATTAAATTACTGTAAATAATGTCAATGATACGTCAAATTGATTAAAGATTTAAACAAGAATTTTCAATATATTTATAATATAAAAGAATACCTTTATAGCTTTTAATTGTTCAGTAGACTTGCAAATTATAGATATATAAAGCGAGACAAAAATACATATCTTCATGCAATATATATGATTCAAAGACCAAGAGAGACCAATAAGGGACGGAATATGCAGGGGTTACTATAAGTTAAAATCTCAAGCAATATTGAATTGTTTAGTCACCGTGATGACAGTGACAGAAGGAAGTGTATAATTAAGGTACTGGCAAGTACATTAAGTCTATCTAATGCTTTATTACTGAGAATAATTACATTATAATTATTTTGTTGATCCTTGATTATTCCTATTTCTCTTGCTTTAAGGCAACATATCTTCCTCTCTTAGTTTATTTTTCAAACTAAGTGAATCTTTTGCAGTATTGTATAATACTCAGATGACCGGGAGGATCTTGGGCCCTTGGGCCTCTTGTATCACTTAAGTATACTATTATTACTGGAATGTCTATGCCATCAGAGTATTAATTGAGAATTCTCAGTAACTTGTGAATTCGTCAGTCATCATCAGTGGTCAATGAAATCATTCTTTTAAGTAAAAATAGCAGTGAAGAAGAAAAGTTGATGTAAATGGAGGAGAAAAAATGATTTGATTGTTTGCGATCAATAGCAAAATAAATTTTTCACAAATTAAAAAAATACTTAAATAAAAAAAAATTAGATTATTGTGGTCTAACATTTTATTATATAAACTTCTTTGTGAGAATATAAGTTGAAAAATTCATAATAATCAAATGAGTTTCTGTTAAGTGACGCTTTAACTGATTTGGAAGAAATTTCCAATTAATTTGTTACAAAAATATATATCTAATTCATATTCCTAGTAAAAAGTCCAAAAAATCTTAAAAAGGATGACAGGTTCATATTAGTATCATGAATGTTACGGAATTATTTAGGGAGAACTCTTTGAAATCTGTTTTGACGAATAACAGAGGGCAAAGTTGATTCAAATGATTCTCGTGGTCCATGAATCTGATCATGATGAATACAAGACTGTGAAAAATCAATATATTCATATCATAAGTACATTGTCAGAGTATGATAATCGTCAATTAATTGCAATTCAGAAAGATTTAGGCCTCAGAAATATGCATTTTTATTGATTGCACGATGACCGAGTTCTTGACGTACATTCTCTTTCTTTTTGGAGGTGATTACATCCATAAACATGATAAAGACTACTGGCAGTTTAATTTGTGCTTTCAGGGTAGTGTATAATGTACACTGAATAAAAAAATCATTTGAGTAAATGTTGATTTTTATTTTATTCAGACTATCTAATGTTCTGGGCCAAGTCCATTCATCAATACAGCAGTGAAAAGGCTCCCGTTCTGCTGGTGGGCACTCATGCTGAAAAAAAGACAGAAAAGGTATTTGATATTAATATCTGCGAAAGCTTGTTGAAACAGTAATTGTGATATTTTTTATTCCCTGTCATGATTATTGTTGGGGTGCTTAAAGCACTCCTGAACAAAGGTTCAAAATGAGTGAGTTTCATCTGTCTGTCTGTCTGTTTGTCTGTGTTAACTTCCTTGCTTTCAACCTCTATTCAAGAACCACTTTCAACCAAACTTGCTATAAAGCATCTATGGATAAAGTAGATTTAAATTTGTTCAAATGAAGGCTACATTTTTTTTTATATTTGGATGTTAGTAAGAATTAATAAACATTAAAAGGCATTTCTTATGTCATCGAGAAAACTCAAACGTTATCTAATCAGCACATCAGAAGTTTATGCAATGAAAGGAGTCAGTGAATGCATCCGCAAAAGAAAATATCAATAGCAGTATGTCAATTTCTTCGACCATGAATAATAATTACAATCATTATACACAAAATCTCATAATTATGATTACTTTTTAGCTCTTCTGAGGCAAAGGCTCAAAGAGCTAATGCTATGGCCATTTGTGCGGTGTGAGTAAACTTTTTAGAATATCGGCCATAACTCAAGAACCCCTTGACCAATTATTGTCAATTTGTCAAAATTTGTCACAGTGTATCCTTGCAATTGGCCCAAGGGCTACAAAAACTAGGGTTGTGATCCTTAAACAAGGGGAGTTATTAGATAAATAAAACCAAAAGTACTGGTTGCTAAAAAATTTTCTCAAGAACCACTGGGCAGATTATCACCAAATTTGCATAAAAGGTTGAGGATATGGTGTAGATTTAAATGCACGGGAATTTACCCTTTGGGCATAGGGCGTGATCTCAAGGTCACTTCAAAACTGTCCAAAAATTACATTTTATTAAAATGTTGATATTTTGCTTACTATAAGGACTAGGATCATCAAATGTTGTAAATTGAAGCATCTAAGGACCTTATATCAGGTTGACTCAAAAGTAGGACACGGTAACCTGATTTTTATATTTTGCGGCCATTTTTTTTTCAAAATGATTTAGAGGCATATTTTGAACAATTTAAGGCCTATGATCATCAAACTTTGTCAGTTGATGTGTCTTGGGTCCTCGGAGTACGTAGACTAAAAGGGAGGTCACCTTGACCTACTTTTTGAATTTTATGGCTAATCTTTATCAAAACAATTAAGGCCATTAATTCGAATACTGAGAGGTTTAGAATTATTAAATCTTGTAAAAAGATACATCTTGGAGCCATGAAACATATTTATAAAAAAAAAGTAGGTCACAGTGACCTACTTTTTGAGCTTTGCAGGCATTCGATTTCAAAGCGTTATAAAGGCATATTTTGGACATTTAAAGGCTTATGATCATGAAACTTTGCAAGTTGATGCATCTTGGGTCTTCGAAAAACGTCAACTGAAAAGTAGGTCACCGTGACCTACTTTTCATTTTATATGACTATAATTAAATATTTCGGGTACTAATAGGTTTAGAAACATTAAATTTTGTAAGTTGATGTATCCTGGGTCTTGGGAGTAGGTCGACTGAAAAGTAGGTCGGCGTGACCTACATATGTAAATTTATGGCTTTAATTAAATATTTCGGGTACTAATTGGCTTAGAATCATTAAACTTTGTCAGTTGATGCATCTTGGCACCTCGGAGTAAAACAACTGAAAAGAAGGTCACAGTGAACTACTTTTGACAATTAAATTAATATTTCAGGTGCTAATTGGCTTAAAATCATCAAACTTTGTCAGTTGATGCATCTTGGATCCTTGGAGTAAGACAACTGAAAAAGTAGGTCACCGTGACCTACTATTGAAATTTTATGGGTTTATTGAATAATTTCAATATTTGGCTTAGAATCATCAAAATTTGTCTGTTGATGCATCTTGGGTTTACGGAGTAAGTAGACTGAAAAGTAGGTCACCGTGACGTACTTTTGAAAATTTATGACTTTAATTAAATATTTCAGGTACTAATTGGCTAAGAATAATCAAACTTTGTCAGTTGATGCATCTTGGGTCCGCAGGGTAGGTCGACTGAAAAGTAGGTCACTGTGACCTATTGAAAATTTATGGCTGAATTTAATATTTTCGGGTACTATTAGGCTTAGAATCATCAAAATTTGTCAGTTGATGCATCTTGGGTGGTCCTCGGAGTAGGTAGACTGAAAAGTAGGTCACTGTGACCTACTTTTCAATTTTTATGACTATAATTAAATATTTCAGGTACTAATTGGCTTAGTATCATCAAAATTTGTCAATTGATGCATCTTGGGTCTTCGAAAAACGCCAACTGAAAAATAGGTCACCATGACCTACTTTTGAAAATTTATGACTTTAAATATTTCAGGCACTAATTGCGCGGCTAGGATAAGTCTGTCCGAAGAATGTCACAGTGTACCAGCCATAGTAACTTCTCTGAACTACCTAGATATGACGTCATAATGGCATATGACGTCAAGTCACTGCATACTTGAGCTGACATGACGGGGAAAGTGTCATAACTTTAACATTCCTTTCACATCACATGTAGAATTTTTTTTACGTTGATGTTTAATTCATGTGTATGGATTGTTGTTTTAAGGCTGTAATGATGCTGAATATTTGCCGTATAATATCGTTATTAATTTTCTTGTCTAACATGTACGTATTCAAACAATTGAAAAAAAAAAGAATGTGAAATGCCCCCCTTACGTTTCTGTAGACAGAGTTAGAATCTATAAATTTTATATATATTAGACTGGCACAAGTGAATAATAAGGATTAATTGAAGATATTCTGTGTGAATCTACTAGAGAAATATGTCCTCTAACTGAATTTTGCTGGGGGATTGTATGTAATTTATCCCATTTTGTATAAATTCCGATGAAGAGTGGAAAATGACCCCTTGTATGTGGGTAAGTTGAATTTCTCGTGAAATATTTTCTGATGAAATAAAATTCAGACTTGCCCCCAGCACTTTATATATACCCAAGAATACGTTTAATTGATTTATGTAACAAGCCGTTCACAATAATTTTGTTTTTCACTTGTGCCGATGCGATTTTTGTGCAACATCTAAGAAAATTTATAAGTGTCCGTCACGTGATCAACACAGTCATGTGACATCACAAAAATGCTTTTTTGTAATACCTTATTCAACTTTCTTTATGTATACATAGATTACAAATTGAAATCAAAACATTGCTCAATATAAAATAGTATATATTTAATGCATATTACGCCTTCGGACAGCCTTAACCTAGCTGCGTGGCTAAGAATAATCAAACTTTGTCAGTTGATGCATCTTGGGTCCGCAGAGTTAGTTGAGTGAAAAAGAGGTCACTGTGACCTATTTTTTGCTTTATTTAAATATATCAGGTACTTATTGGCTTAGAATCATCAAACTTTGTCAGTTGATGCATCTTGGGTCCTTGGAGTACGACAACTGAAAAAGTAGGTCACCGTGACCTACTTTTGAAATTTTATGGCTGTATATAATAATTTCAATATTTGGCTTAGAATCATCAAAATTTGTCTGTTGATATCGATGCATCCTGGGTTTACTTAGTAAGTCGACTGAAAAGTAGGTCACCATGACCTACTTTTAAAAATTCATGGCTTTAATTAAATATTTCAGGTACAAATTGGCTTAGAATCATCAAACTTTGTCAGTTAATGCATCTTGGGTCTTCAAAGTATGTCATCTGAAAAGTATGTCACTGTGACCTACTTTTGAAATTCTATGGATATAATTTTAAAAATATTTTAGGTATTAATTGGCCTGAAATCATCAAACTAAGTTGATGCATCTTGGGTCCTCAGAGAATGACAAGTGAAAAGTAGGTCACCATGACCTACTCTCAGGTACTAATTGTCTTAGATAATCATCTTGGGTTCTCAGAGTGTTTCCTCTAAAAACCTACCTTTGGAATTTCAAGGCTTTATCTAAAGATACAGGATAGAGGCTTCAAATAGAAGTGATAGGTTGTACAGTTTATCAGAAAAGCGATTCAAGGCCCTTTTGTCTCTTGTTATAAAAAGTTTTAAACATTGTTAACAGCTTCATTAAGTACTGTACTTTTTCATATTCTTAATTTCATACTATATACCTTTTTATAAATTTGTTGTTTGACGCCATTAAATACTTTCAGGCTTTTGATTAAAAATTTTCAAGAACGACTGGGTCAGAAGATGAAAAGTCTTTGGAAGCTTTGATATACATGTAGTGTAGATACTAGTTTGTTCAAATCATAACTCCCTTGGGAAAGATGGTGTCACAATAGTAATGTGTACATGGTAATGTTTACATAGGAATGTTTACATTAAGAATAATCTCTAAAAATATCCTCAAGAACAATAAAGCCATCATCATTCCTATAGTTTATAAGGTATTGTAATTTCAAATTCAAGACTCTTTTGGGTAAATATACATGATATAGATCAGGGCAACAATAGGCATTTATACTTTTACATACGAATATTAAGGTAGAAATAAGAAAAATCTTTTCAATAACAGCGATGCAATTAATAGTCATATTAAAATGGAAGCACCTTTAGCTCGCAGGTAGCCTAGATTAAGTTTTATTCAAATCATAACCTCAATATCCATATAAGTTCAGCAGGACTAACATTTACCAATCAAAGTTATACATAGAAATGCATATATCAGGAAAAGTCAAATTCTTCTCAAAAATAACCAGAAGCAAAACTAGGATTAATCATGATTATACTGATAAGCCAAAACACACATAGACACACACACACACACACACACACACAAACCTATTGTCATACAGATAAAACTATTTACTCTATAAGGTAGTTTTTGTTCAACTTTCCACTGTCCGCTAGCTTTATACTTTAATCTCAATAATTCTTTTAACCAGGAGAAAGAGAAGTTTTTCCGTGAGATTTGGACGACTTTGAAAACAGAGGATGAGTCCCTGCAAAGGCATACTGACAGGGAAAGGATGTTTGCTGTTGGATTCAATGAGAATGAATGCATTGAAAACATCAAGCTGTCAGTTGTTAATGTTGTCCAAAAACTTGATCACTGGGGTGAAAAACTTCCGCACTCCTGGGCTTTGTTTGAAAACTTCTTCCAGGAAAAGAAAACACTAAAAATGATCAACAAAGAGACACTTTTGGCTTTCAATGAAGTATTGCCACAGGAATTGAAATTGGAAACAGACGAAGATATTAATACCATGGTGCAGTTTTTCCATGACATCAGAGAAATTTTATACTTTGACCAAGAATCTCTCAGAGGAATCATAATTCTTGATGTTCAATGGTTTGCAGATGCGTTCAAAAATGTTATCACAGATAAAAACCATGCAGCAAAGGATTTATTTAAGCTTGCATCACAATGGAACAAATTTAATGAAACTGGAGAATTGAGTGACACATTGCTGTCTGCGATATGGGAAATGAACAACAATGGATTCCTTGAACACAAAGATGACATCATGCGCTATATGGAGAAGCTTGGACTCTTGGCTAAAATGAATGACAAAAAATGGTATGTTCCATGCATGAACAAAAAGTCATTTCCTGTACATAGTTTTTCATCATACCCTGCCTCGTCCATCCTGTGCTACGTTTTTGATGTTCTTCCTGCTGGAATTTTTCAGCGTCTTGTAGCAAGTTGCGTGCAATTTCCATGGAGTATTGTTAAAGTAAATAAAGACGGAGAAGAACAACCATGCATTTACCAGACAGCGGCCGTATTTCTGTTTATGAAACACTGCGTTCTGCTTGGAATGACCCAATCAGAAATTCAGTTGCAGGTGTATGTAATTGAGGGAGAAGTTGAAAAACCCACATGTTTAAAGATAAGGGAGAAGATTGAGGATGAATTGCACATTCTGTCCAGTACATTTCAAAGTAACTTGAAATTTCAAATTGGCTTCAAATGCAGACATACTGGCTTTTGTGACAATGAAAAAAGTCACGTGATTAAGGAATCCGAGCTTACTGAGCAGACTCTTCTGTGCCCTTTCTGTCCTGTGGAGAAAAAGCATATTATTGATACGACAGAAATCATCAAATACTGGAAACAGGTACTCTGGTATATTATCTTTAGATGTTGAAATAAAACAGATATGATCTGCGAGGAAGAAAATATTTAAAATAATAGTTTTAAAATATATTTAGGAAGGAAATTATTTTAAAATTTGATAGAAATACCTTGATGCTCTTCCTTTATATGGAATTTGGTCCCCTTAAGGTCCTGACACTAAGTAGTAAAGTAATTGAAAATACAAAAATTTTACTTAGTTCACAAGGTATAGAGTATATATCAATGTTATTGCTTCAAAGTTCTTCAATATAGTTAAATGTATTATATAGGGAAAAACACAAAATCTCAACTGTATTTTTAACTGCAATAGATAAGAACCTAATTAATTGACAACCAAAAAAAATTGCATGTTGTCATATCATATGATTTTCCTGGTAAATATTCTTTGTACATTTTGTCATATGAAAATCTTCCTAGTAGTTTCTAATTTTTTTTTGCTAACGAGTTCAAATTAAAATACAGAGAAACTTTTTTCAGATGAATGCAAGCGCTTCCATGACTCCTATGGCCTCTGGACAAGACCTGGGGGACCAATCTAGATTTGCAAAACTCGGAATGGCAACAAACGATGTGTTAAATCAGGCATACAGAGATATACTGAAGATTGAAGTGCCACCTTCCGATATTGAGAACAAAGTTAAAGCATCACCATGTTATAAAAGATTGCGCCCAGAACAAGAACATCTTTTGCAGGATGCTAAACATTCGGGTTATAAACATTTTGATATTTCTTTAACATACACATTGATCAGAAACATTTGTAAAAAAATTCCTAAACCAACAAACGGAAAATGGGGAGAAGATCCTGCTGCAGGAGAGGTGACGGTGGGTGATGATATCGAGAGAATTAGGTCAATCCGGAACAGTTTGACTGCACACGTGAGCTCAGCCTCCACACCAAAGTCAGAATTCCAGAACACCTGGTCCATTATCTCAGATATCTGCCAAAGATTGGAAACGTTTACTGGAAAAAAGTATTTGGATAATCTCAATAAAATCCAAAAATTGACCTTGAGAGGGGAAGATGAAAATGCTATTATAGAAAAGATCAAAAAAGAAAGTCAGCATGAAATGGTGAAAGAATTGTGGTCAGATATGAAAGTTATGAAAGCAGCAGTGGAGAGGCTTGAAATGAAGCATACATCGAATTAAGAGTGTAAATCTGAACTTTTTATTTGATATATTAAAAGTAAAATGTATGTAACTTTATAGAGACTAAGTATTGAACTACAGTTCAATATGAATGATTTATTTTTTTTTTTCAAAATAGATAAATAGATCTGAAATTTTTAGCAAATTTGCGTGGTTTCAAATTAAATAGCCACTGATCATAAATTTGAAAATATTCTTTTCTGTGACTTTGGAAAGTCAACAACTACATGTAACATTGAATGAATATCATATTACTTGTATGTCAAAGATACTGAAAAGTCAAATTTTGAAAGACACTATTGAAACTTTATTATATGTTTAAATTAAAACAAGATGTTCTGAATCCGCTACTTTCACATACATCAGAATTACCTTTTTGAATTAACATCAAAGAATTTAGATATGCATCAGATAAATTTTACTATTCAAAAAAGTAAGGGATACTGTAGTTTGTAATCAAAATGTTTACATCTTTCCAAAGAAATCCATCACCAAATCACATCAATCACACGCTCACGATCTGCACGGGATGCTACTGATGTGCAAGGGTGTTAAGCCACAAAGGGGGAGTTTCGATGTCATTTTTCGGCTCCCAGAAAAAATTGATATGTTGTAGATAAATGTCATATCTTTCTAAAAATATAAAAATATTTTTGCTGGACATTTTTCGGTCAAGTAATAATTAAAAAATTAAGTATACCCCTTCCCTTCATTTTTGAGGTAAACATTTTAAAAAGGGGTTAATGGAGTTTTTTTTTAAATTAAAATCATGAATGAAATATGATAAATGTAAATGAAATCATTAAATAACCAATTTCAACATTAATTTTTTACAGAAAATGAATAATACTTATTTTATGTGAATGTTTTTAAAAAAGAGATTTTTCTTGTGTTTTTATTTGTACCTTTTCTTTAAAAGAGGATGGAAGTAACTTATAAAACGTATACAATATAGACAAAAAGGTTTGAAAAAGCAATTAATCGAAGTTTATCCTTAAACATAATAATGAATTTAAAACATTTATCCTGTACGTAGAGAAGCAAAAGTAAAAAGATAAAGACATGAGAGAGATAAATTTTTGACTGTCATTTACAGGTGTTGGCACTGTTTGCAATACATTTTCATCAACTACAGTCATGGTTCAGAAAGTATTTTAAAATATACCGTAATATCTTTATATTGAATTTATCATAATGTTTTGAAATTTAAAAAAATCTAGAATTCTGTACGATAAAAAATGCAGCTATATATTTATAATTTTAAAGGTATATTTTATAGAATCATGTTGCAATACACATTTTATTTAATAATATCAGTAATATTAATCATAGTCAAAATATTTTATCAATATAGTAATTATATTCCCTTACTGGTGAAACAGGAGAGGACTATAGTTTTCCTCATCGTCTGTCCATCTGACTAGCTGTCCGCCCCTCTGTGTCTCTGTCAATCTTTCCCATTAGGCACTTTTCTCTAAACAGATATAAATAATCAATATAATCTATATAATTTATATCTTGCAGATATAAATTAAGTAAGCTAATTTTTGGGCATTAAGTGTATCCTGATGAGGTACAAATAAACTTTGAATTTCTTTCCGCTTCATGTATGTTTGACGGCATTATGAATTTAAAAAAAACATTACGGGCGTGCGCTTTTTTCGAAATGCTTACATATATTATGCTTTTATGTAGTCAAGGTGGCAGTTCAGAGCAGTTCAGAATACATGTGTAAATGCCAAAGATACGTGTTAAATCCTAAAACCTGCAGAAACATATAAATTAACATCCAGTCTTAAAAAAAATCTACGTTCCCTACATGCTTCACTAGCAGTTTGGATCGAAGATTTTTAATCAAAAATGGCTAATATAAATATATTTTTAGGATATAGCCATATGTTTGATAAAGAACTTTAAGGTATTGACTTATTTTCACTTTTCTTTATTTCAATCAGTCAGAAAATATAAGTAAGATCCAGCATCTGTCCCATTTCTGGTAATGTACAACCTTAAATGCATCATCGGTGCATGTAAAGCATTGGAGGGTACATCTAAGTATGTGTCAGATACGGCGTGCATTCATCTCATATTAACTTCTGAAATATTATTAACAAAAATTAACATTTTAATCTTCAATTCGAAACTTCTTTTGAAAAAAATAATTTATTGAAATTTATTTTTATGAAAATAAGTGGGACGCTGAGCGCCTTATCGAAACTCTCCCTTTGTATGCCTCTGAATTGGAAGTTTAAAGCCACTCTAAACAAAGATTGTGAAGAGAAAGCATCAGATTACCAGTTGTTGAAGTCATTAATTAGACAAAGACCATGCGCTGTCTAACACAGGATGAAAGGTTATGTGCCCTTGGCATGCTACAGGTTGGCACAAGACAGGTTGCTGTGGCAAGGGCAATGAATGTTTCCCAAGCTTTAATCAGATTTTCTGATTCAACATTTTTCTATGTTTTTACTTGTCACTTTCTAATTTTTTTTGTATACATACACCTTGTGTTTACAATGTTGAATTTGATAACTTTTTGTTGAAACAATTTCTTAATATTCCCAAATATAACACAATTGCCAAATGTATCAATTTTATGCTCACCTAAGCCGAGTGCTCAAGTTATTTTTTTTTCTGATCACATTTTGTCCGGTGTCAGGCTGTATGTCCATCTGTTTGTCGGTCTGTCTGTAATCTTTTCACATTTTGGACACCTCAGGAACAAATGGACGAATTTCAACTAAAATTGCAAGAACTAAACACTAATTGAGGAAAAATCATAGTAAAAGGAAAGGTCAAGTAAAAAAAAAATGTTGATCAAGTTGAAAAGCTTACATCAGTATGCATTAACAAATGAAGTTTTTTAAAAAAAAATATCATGAATGGTTTAAAAAAAAAAGCGAGCTAAACACAAATGAGGTCAAAGAAAGGGCAAAGTCAAAATATGTTTATGTAGCTGAACAGCTCATATCAGTGTATATCAGCGTATGAATTTTACACCAATTTAAGACAGATGATGTCAATGTCAAAGGGAAGGTCAAGCTCAAAATATGCTGATGCAGTGAAATTGCTTTGCCAGTATGTACCAGTAGATGAAATCGATGAAAATATCCTGAATTGTTTCTTTAGAATTGAGCTTAACACTTATTTAAGAAACATGAAGCAAAGGTCAAGTTCAAAAAATGAAAACACAGTAGAATAGCTAACTTCAGTGTGTATCTGCACATAAAGTTTCATTACATTATCTTAAATTGTTTCTTTAATACTGAGCTAAACACTAATTTAAGAAAAGTTAAATCAAAGGAAAGGTCAAGGTCATAAAGTGTTGATGAAGTTGAAGAGCTCTCATCATTATGTGTCAGCATATGAAGTTTTATTTTTGTTTGTTTGATTAATGTTTAACGTCCCTCTCGAGAATTTTTCACTAATCTGGAGAAGTCACCACTTGCCGGTGGAGAGCTGCAATTTTTTTTACCTATACTTGGCACTCAGGGCCATTGAGCAGTGAGAGATCTATTTTGTGCCAACAGTTCCTGCGACACGGGACCTCAGTTTATACGGTCTCATCCAAAGGACCGGTTTCCAAGTACACGTCCCACTGTTCGATTCGAACCCGCGACGCAAGGATCAACTCTAAGAATCTCTCAGAGGAATCATTATTCTTAATTTTCAATGGTTTGCAAATGCGTTCAAAAATGTTATAACAGATAAAAAAAAAAACATGCAGCAGAGGATTTATTTAAGCTTGCATCACAATGGGACAAATTTAATGAAACTGGAGAACTGAGTGACACACTACTGTCTGCAATACGGGAAAGAACAACAATGGATTCCTGGAACACAAAGATGATCATGCGCTACATGGAGAAGCGTGCTTTCTTGGCTAAAATGGATGACAAAAGATGGTTTGTTCCATGTATGAACAAAAGACCGTTTCCTGTTAACAGATTTTCATCATACCCTGCTTCCTCCATCCTCTGTTTCATGTTTGATGCTCTTCCAGTGGGTATTTTTCAACGCCTTGAAGACGGATGCCTGGAATTTCCCTTGGCTCTTGTCTAAGAAAATAAGGATGCGAAAGTACAACCATTCATTTACCAGACTGTGACTGTGTTTCTGTTCGAGGACGATCATTACATTTTGCTAGGAATGACACCGACGGAAATCCAGTTGCAGGTGTTTGTTAGAGAGGGAGAAGTAGATATATCGACATGTTTCCAGATAAGAGAATAAATTGAGGGTGAATTTTATCTTCTTTCCAGTACATTCCAAAGAAACTTGAAATTTCATACTGCCTTCAAATGCAAACCTGAAGGATTTTGTGATAATAACAGATATACGGTTACACGAATCTGAGCTCAGAGGACCGACTTTTCAGTGTCCTTCCTGTCCTGAGGAGAAAAAGCACATTGTTAACACAAGAAATATCACCAAATACTGGATACAGGTATTGTAGAATATAGACTGTTCTTACCAGTCAAGTATATTGTGTACACAAGAGATATCACCAAATACTGGATACAAGTATTATAGAATATAGACTCCTCTTACCAGTCAAGTATGTTGTTAACACAAGAGAAATAAAAAAATCTGGTTATAGGTATTATAGATTATAGACCGTCCTTACCAGTCAAGTATTTCTTTCAAAACACCTTCCGTCATATTTGAACCAAGAAAACTAGATCTTAACAATAATAAATTTGATAAAAAATATTTTAGAATTTCCTTGACTTCTTTAATAAAAGGTATTTTTTTTGTTCTGTCATAATATATTTGTAAAGCTGAATGAAACTCGTTGTTAGAGCATCAATTGAAGAAATCAGAAATTTTTATTTTTAAACAGTAGAATATGTTTATAGATATATTTCATTTCAAGTATTTGTAAAAATATCTTTTTATCACATAGGTACAGCAAGTGGAGAATGAAAATGAGGAGGATATTTCTAATTCATGTATGTAATTCTAATGTCAACTTTTAAGATACATGTAACTTCCATCTTTA